CGGCCAAGCCGCCTCCATTTGCTGCAGGGCCTGAGTCACGGACTCCTGGTCCACGTGCGCCGTGGCGTCCAGGCTGTACACGAAGTCGCGCCAGGTCGCAAGGCCCTTTTCCAGCATGTAGGCCACCGCAGGCTTCGCGTACCAGCCCTGACCCACGTAGGGGAGCTGCTTGAAGGCCGCCCAACGCCCGTCCTCCCGGAGCTTCACGTAGGTCAGGTCCGCCAGGTGCCCTTCGCGGGCTTGCTCCACGTTGTCCTTGGGGCAGAAGATGGGCGCCGGGAACTTGGCATGGGCCAGGGCGTTCTTGCGGCACCGGACCACGTCGATTCCGTGGCAGATGTGGTCCGGCTTGTGGCTGTTGAGCTTGAAGAGCGGTGGGAGTCGGGGCGATTCCACGTACTGCTCGTAAGCCCGCCGGCTGAAGCGCGACTCCAGTGTCGTGGCGTGCGAGAACTCCAAGGCCGTTTTGTTCCGGTGGCACTCGAGGCACAGGGCCTGGAGATTTTGGGCCTGCGCGGCGAAGGACTGGTGCACGGGAACGATGTGGTCCAACTCGCATGTGGTTGCGGTGATGGGGGCCCCGCAGAGCTTGCACTGATGGTCCTGCTCCGAGAGCATGGGCTTGCCGAGATCCGGGCGGATCGCGGCGGGCCTTGAGAAGGTGAAGGAAGACCTCGCTCGAAGCGCCTGCCAGACGCTGCCCGTAATAGGGGAGCCCCAGCCGCCGCATCCAGGCCTGCAGCACGTCCAGGTCTTCGTGGAAGGCGGAGATGACGCAGTCCTCGCCGCCCCGCACCCTCAGCCGCAGGCACGCCACTCGCTCATGCTTCGCATGACCACCTTCGGGCAGTGCTCCTCGGCCAGGAGCTCCCTCCGGACCTGCTCCAGGTCCTCGGCGTAGAAGTGGCCGCTGGTGACCTCACCCTCCCACTCCCGCCAATGCTTGAACTCGGGCGTTTCGCCCGGCCTCCTCTCGCCCCTATACCTGGCCCGCTCCCCGATCGGCTCGCACTTCGCGACGGTGCGGGCGGATTTGTAGAAGAAGGCGTGGCCGTTCCAGCTCGTGAAGGCCACGGCCCGCTGCTCCTTGACCGAAGGCTCGTACTTGTCCAGCAGGCGGCCCTGGCAGTCCACGTAGAACATCGGGCTGATGCCTTGCTCCCGCCACGTTTTTTGGGTGCAGATTGCGTCGAAGTCCGAAAGCACCTCTTGCAGCGGCAGCCGCATCAGCTCCGCGAGCTGCCGAGGGACGCAGAGCTTGTCCGGCCGTTGTTCGAAGGCGGACTCGAGGATGTCGTCGCCGCAGTACAGCTGGTAGGAGACGTCCCGCAGAGCCCCCAGGGGCTGATCCAGGACGGTGTCCAGCACCACCTGGTTGTCCACGACCTGCATGGCCTGCTGGCTGAAGGTCCACTCCCTCGTCGCGTCCAGGTAGTAGCTCTCGTCGGACAGCTCCCAAATAATGTCGTTCGGCTCGGGGTTCCCGAGCTGCGCGAGCGCGGATGCCTTGAGGTTCCGGGCAGCTTGGGCATCCGAGAGCCCCTCGCTCTGCCGGGGCAGTGCGACGTTGAGGTCCGTGACGGGCAGGCGCTTGGTGCGCTCGTAGGGCATGCCGCGGTTCCGGCCGTTTCGCCGGATGCCCCGAATGATGACGGGCACGTGCACCACCCAGTCGACCCACTTGTCCTTGAAGAAGCTCTTCCCGAGCTTGGTCAAGTGGTAGTTCCCGTTGGGTTGGAGGCTGCGGAGCAGCTTTTTGGCGCCCCCCCGGAGCATGATGTAATCGTTGGGCCCCTCGCGGATGAGGGGCTGGTTGCGGTCGTACTGCCGACTGGGGGGTGGCTGGCCGATCAGTTGGTAGTAGTACTGCCCGGCCCTCGTCAGCTCGCCGTTGGGGCGGCTGAGCATCGCGTAGCGGAGGTGGTGGTGTCTCAAAGGAAGGGTTTCTGAGCCTGCCGCCGAGGTCCTCGCCCTGACCCCGGCCTCGGCTGCAATTCTGATCGCTTCTCGTTGCTGAGCCCAGCTCATGACTTTTGAACCACCCGCCCGGAAAAAAGGTCGTCCCCCGAGCGGGCGCCCCTTCGCCGGTCGAGTCTTGTTGTACAGTTGTTGGCTCAAGTCTTCGTGTACAGCTTCGGCTCAAGCCTCCCCGTTGTACAGCGGCTTGTACAGTTTTTGGCTCAACTCTTGTGTACAGGTTCGGCTCAAGCCCTCCCTAAACCTTATACGGCAGTTTTTTCGTTTTGCACGAGTTTCTTTCACGTTTCACTGCTCTGGAGCGAGCAGGCCTACTTCACTGCTCTGTGGCGAGCAGGCCTACTTTGGAAGCCACCTAAACCGAATGCCCGCATTTCGTTTTGCATGAGTTTTTGGCATGGATTTTTGCATGATTTTGACACGTTCGATTTTTGTGAGTGCTTGTGCCGCGCTCGCTCCCTCGAAGCATGAGCAGCAGGCAGTGGCAACAGGCAACAGCAGCAACTCGTTTAGCAACAGAAGGACCTGGCAAGACGCACCTAACGAAGACAGACAGCAAGCACGCAAGTCCTGACACAGAGAGGTAGAGTGCAAACGCCGGGTGCACAGAGGTTTCAGGGTTTTTTGGAGGTTGCAGGCAAGGGGTTCTGAGGCTGCGAGGTTTGGTCGCACGTGTCAGGAGTGCCCTGTGCTGCCGCCCTCACCCCTCCCGTAATCTAGAGTGTGTGCGCCTCCCCTCCCCTCCCGGGAACCCCGGGCCCCCTCCTGTGATCAGGTGCGCTTCCTGACTCTCGCTTCTTCGACAGCATCCAGCAGAGGTGAGGTTAGTGAAAGGTTACTTCGCGGTAGTGTTTTTTCGCGGCTGCGTGGTCGAGGAGTCCCTTCCTTTCCCGAGACCCCCGACCCTTCTGCGCAGGCGCTCGTGTGCTGCTCGTATCTTCGTCCTCGACCTCTTGGCTCGGAGGCAGGGTCAAGGGCCTAGGAATCTTGCGGTGTGAAAGGGCCGAATTCGGGGTCGCAGGGGGCGTGAAACGTGAAACCTGGAAGGAGGCCGCAGGGGCCGTGAAATGTGAAACTTGGGGGGCCGCGAGGCAGCACCGGGGCGTGAAATGTGAAACCTGGGGGGAGGCCGCAGGGGCCGTGAAATGTGAAACTTGGGGGGCCGCGAGGCCGCACCGAGCGTGAAATGTGAAACCTGGGGGGAGGCCACAGGGGCCGTGAAACGTGAAATTTGGGGGGCAGCAGGAGGCGTGAAATGTGAAATTTGGGGGGCGGAGCGGGGCGTGAAATGTGAAATTTGGGGGCCGCAGCGGGGCGTGAAATGTGAAATCTGGGGGTCCGGAGCGGGGCGTGAAATGTGAAATCTGGGGGGCCGCGGGAGGCGTGAAATGTGAAACCTGGGGCGCCGCATGGGGGCGTGAAATGTGATATCTGGGAGGCCGCAGGGGGCGTTTTGGTCAGTGGACCAGGGTTTCACATGTCACGGGCCTTCGGGACGCCAGGGTTTCACATTTTGCACGCCTTCGGGGGACCAGGGTTTCACGTTTCACGGGCCTTCGGGGGACCAGGGTGTCACATTTCACGCGCCTTCGGGGGACCAGGGTTTCACATTTCACGCGCCTTCGGGGGACCAGGGTTTCACATTTCACGGGCCTTCGGGGCACCAGGGTTTCACATTTCACGCCGGGCCTTCGGGGGACCAGGGTTTCACATTTCACGCGCCTTCGGGGGGCCTTCGAGGGACCAGGGTTTCACATTTCACGCGTTTTCGAGGGGTCAGGGTTTCACATTTCACGGGCCTTCGGGGGACCAGGGTTTCACATTTCACGGGCCTTCGGGGGACCAGGGTTTCACATTTCACGGGCCTTCGAAGGGCCAGGGTTTCACATTTCACGGGCCTTCGGGGGGATCAGGGTTTCACATTTCACGGGCCTTCGGGGGACCAGGGTTTCACATTTCACGCGCCTTTGGGGGGGTGGCCAGGGTTTCACATTTCACGCGCCTTCGGGGGGCCAGGGTTGCGCCTTCGCAGGCCAGGGTTTCACATTTCACGCGCCTTCGGGGGGGCCAGGGTTTCACATTTCACGGGCCTTCGGAGGACCAGGGTTTCACATTTCACGGGCCTTCGGGGCACCAGGGTTTCACATTTCACGCCGGGCCTTCGGGGGACCAGGGTTTCACATTTCACGCGCCTTCGGGGGGCCTTCGAGGGACCAGGGTTTCACATTTCACGCGTTTTCGAGGGGTCAGGGTTTCACATTTCACGGGCCTTCGGGGGACCAGGGTTTCACATTTCACGGGCCTTCGGGGGGATCAGGGTTTCACATTTCACGCGCCTTCGAAGGGCCAGGGTTTCACATTTCACGCGCCTTTGGGGGGGTGGCCAGGGTTTCACATTTCACGCGCCTTCGGGGGGCCAGGGTTGCGCCTTCGCGGGCCAGGGTTTCACATTTCACGCGCCTTCGGGGGGGCCAGGGTTTCACATTTCACGGGCCTTCGGAGGTGGAGGGGCCAGGGTTTCACATTTCACGGAGCCGGGGTTTCACATTTCACGGCCTTCAGGGACGGCCAGGGTTTCACATTTCACGGTCGCCGCAAGGACCGATCCCCGGCGACGAGAACCCTGACCGAATCTGACCGAGGCATCTTGCAGCAGTTGCCTGTGCACGCCGGGCCACACTTGCAACTGCTGCGCATGTTGAGTTGCAGTTGGTTGCAAACTAAACACTTGGCATGCTACACGGTCGCGGACGGCATGTCGACAAATCAAGACATTCTCACCGAAGGAAAGCATATGCACGTTGTCATGTTTGTAACGAACCACAACACAAATTCTCACGCAGGGCCGATCTGTGATGCGCTGGCAAGCGTGTCCGAGCGGAAACAGGTCACGATTGTTTTGATTCAGCAAGAAGACAAGCGAAGTGGCTAACAAAGCATACGTGAGGTAACTCTCAAACTGAAAAAGGTGGAGATTGCAGTGCTTTTGCTCAAGCAAGAGGACAGCTAGGACGATTGCCGCCATGAGCCGGCCTCCAGCAACATCACGCAAGCTCAGGCGTGTGCTGGTGCTACTGGCGCTGTTCTTGACGTGTCAGCCAGAGCCTAAGACCGGCGCTTTGAACAGTGTCAGAGGTGTTCGCGAGCAGTTCAGGCAAGCAACGCAGACGGCGCGGGCTTTGCTTGGAGCGGGGGCCGTGCCGTTTTCAAGGTGGGATGTGATGTATGGCATGGAGTCCCAAAATCCGCAAGCCAGAGCGAGGTCGGTTCCTGCAGGAATATGGGCACGCAGCTTGCTCGTTGCACGCAGGGCTGAGGCGGGAAGCCGAGACCGAGAGAAGTTCAGTGTTAAGCTTATGTCCTGCAGAGCTGAGGCTGATGGCACTTTGGATGGTGGTGAGGCCGAAGACAACGAAGAGAAAAGGGTTTGTCGTGTTGCGTTACTTGTGACTCACGCTAAAGCATGCTACTAAAGCAGGCTGTCCCATCACAGACCGCTGAAACGGTCGAAGATGCCACGCAGGGGATTACCGGGAAGAAGGCGTGCACTCATGTCCTTGGTGCTTGAGGTGTTTGGGTTGTCAGTCAGCTTGTGTTCGTGCCAGCACTTTGCAACTCCAGGCCCCAAAAGCAGGTTTTGCCATGTTTTGCCTTTCTGACCCGCTTCAACTTGTCTGGTGCTTATGATGTAGGTGCTCCAAACGCTCAACTCTGCCAGCAGCACATGTCTTTTCGGGTCAGTCCATGTTTGGAGGCTTCCTCAGCAAAGTATGAGGTGGAAGAGGTGGAAGAGGCGACGACCCAGGCACTTTCGGGGAGTTTGTGTTTTTGCTGGTGCGGGCTTCGCATGTCTGCGTGGCTCCTGCAGGCCAAAGCAGGCTTCGATCAGGCGAGCTGTCCGTGCAGCCTCGCGGACTGGAGCATCCTTTAGGCTGTGCCCATTGGCGCAGGCCCAGTGGCTGCAAAAAACAGCTGAGCAGATCCGGCAGTTTGGCGTGGACGAGGCGATTTGCATGTCTCTTGCTTGAGCTTCGGGTCTGCGAGCATGGATGGCAGGTCAGTTCTTGGGTCCGGGCGGCCTTGGAAACGGAGAACTACGGCGACAAGGGGCAGAGCATTGCCGAGATTTTGAAGCAGAACGACGTGAGGGGCACCGCGCTCCTGGAGTTGACTGCGGAGAAGATGCGAACGGTTGGCATTCTCATGGGCCCCGCTGAAGTCCTGGCCAAGCGCATCGCTGCTGTTTCTGCCCCGCCGACGGCCGCAAGCGGATTCCAGGCCGGGGGCTTGAACAGAGCTGGCTCGTCACATCATGGGTTTCGTTGGTTTCGTGCCTTTCGTGTCAGACCGGAATCTCATAGGATCCCCTCTTCGTTGAGCTGTCCCCACACTGCCTTCTCGGTTTGTTCTTGGCGTCTTCAGTGCACGGACGATCCGGCTTGAACAGCAGCGTTTAGCATGAGGCTTTTCGTGAGAGGTTGCAGAGAGGAGCATTCGTGTGGTTGTTTCTTGTTGTTAACTCTGCTTGTACGTGTCGTTGCTTGTGTTGGGCCAGCAAACATCAGCAAACGTATCTAGCGTCAGTTACTTGTGTTGTTGCCTTCAGGTTGAAGCCGTTCCGACAGACATTGCTTTGATAGTGGAAGCAGCGGTGACGAGAGCATTGGCTGCGGATACCGGCCTGTCGATCTCGAAGACCAATCTGTGGAATGGTCCGTGAGGGGGGCTCAAGGATAACCCTGGGTTCTTCGTGCTTGCCTTTAGCATGCGGACCTTGAAGAGCAGTGGGGTTGCGGTGGGGGCTTCTGCGTGAGCATGTTGGCTTTGGCTTGTAGCACTCCTGCATGTCCGGGGCTCTTGGTCGTCGTGCGTTTTTCGTGCAGTCCAACCGTTTTTGCTTTTTGGGGTCATGCTCTCCTCTCAGCAAGGGTCCGCTCGTCGTCAAGCTTCACTGTGTTGGCTTGCAGCACTTCGGGGAGCGGGAGGGGCTCTTGGCTGCTTCAGGTTCAGGCAAATCTAGTTGCTCTTTGTGTTTTGCCGATGCTTCAGAACGGGGTGTCAGTCCTAGGCTCGAGATGGGGGGGTCAGCCTGTTTTGCGCTCGCTTTGCGCTCGCTTTGCGCTCGTTCTCCAGGTTGCGGTTGTTTTTGTTTGAGGCTCGGCTTTCAGGTTACCGTGTCCGTGAGGGGGGGTCAAGGGAGTCAACCCTGGGTGCCTTTAGCACACGGACTTTGAAGAGCAGTGGGGTTCCGGCAAGACTAGTGCAGGCCGGGGCTTCTGCGTGGGCATGTTGCCGTTGCTTGTAGCACTCCTGCCTGCCCGGGGCTCTTGGTCATCGTGCGTTTTCGTGCGGTCCACCGTTGTTGCTTTTTGGGGTGCTGCTTTCCTCAGCAAGGATCCCCTTGTGGTTAAGCTGTCTCCACTGTGTTGGCTTGCAGCACTTCGGGGAGCGGGAGGGGCTTTGGGAGCAGAGGGCTCTTGGCTGCTTCAGGTTTCACGCAAATCTGGTTGAGCATTCGCGTTTTGCCGAGTGTTGTTGCTGGCAGTGAGGCTCGAGGTGAGGGTCTGCGTTGCTCTCAGGCTGCAGTTGTTTTTGCGTATGAGGCTCAGTTACGGTATCTGTGTTTGTGTGCTTGGTCGCCGTGCTGTCGCAGTTGTCTTTCTTGATTTGTCGGGGTCGGGCAGGGCCCGAGACGCCAGCGTTTTGCAGGGCAGCCGGTCACAGGGCACCAGGTGAAGCTTCATGTGTGCTTGTGTCGATGCTCGGCTTTTGCACTAAGTGGGCCAGCGTTTCGCGCTTCACTGTGTTGGCTTACAGCACTTCGGGGAGCGGGAGGGGCTCTTGGCTGCTTCAGGTTCAGGCAAATCTGGTTGCCCTTTGTGTTTTGCCGAGGCTTCAGAACGGGGTGTCAGTCTTAGGCTCGAGTTGGGGGGTCAGCCTGTTTTGCGCTGGCTTTGCGCTCTCCAGGCTGGGGTTGCTTTTGAATGAGGCTCGACTTTCAGCTTGCTGTGTCCGTGAGGGGGAGTCAAGGGACCTGGGTTCTTAGTGCCTGCCGCTAGCACACGGACCTTGAAGAGCAGTGGGGTTCCGGCAAGACGAGTGCAGGCCGGGGGGCTTCCGCGTGGGCATGTTTTCTTTGGTTTGTAGCATTCCTGCCTGCCCGGGGCTCTTGGTCGTCGTGCGTTTTCGTGCGGTCCACCATTGTTGCTTGTTGGGGTACTGCATTCCACTCAGCCCCTCGTCGTTAAGCTGTCTTCACTGTGTTGGCTTGCAGCAGTTCGGGGAGCGGGAGGGGCTTTCGGAGCAGAGAGCTCTTGGCTGCTTCAGGTTTCACGCAAAACTAGTTGCTCCTCGTGTTTTGCCGACGCTTCAGCACAGGGTGTCAGTCCTAGGCTCGAGATGGGGGGTCGGCCTGTTTTGTGCTCGCTTTGCGCTCTCCAAGTTGCGGTCGCTTTTGTTTGAGGCTCGACTTTCAGGTTACTGTGTCCGTGAGGGGGGGTGTCAAGGGAGTCAACCCTGCGTTCTTAGTGCTTGCCTTCAGCACGCGGACCTTGGAGAGCAGTGGGGGTTCCGGCAAGACAAGTGTAGGGTGGGGGCTTCTGCGTGCGCATGTTGCCTTTGGTTTGTAGCACTCCTGCATGTCCGGGGCTGGTCGTTGTGCGTTTTCGTGGGGTCCACCGTTCTTGCTTTTTGGGGTCATGCTCTCCTCTCAGCAAGGATTCCCCCGTCGTTAAGCTTCACTGTTTTGGCTTGCAGCCCTTCGGGGAGCGGGAGGGGCTCTTGGCTGCTTCAGGCTCATGCAAATCTGGTTGCCCTTCGTGTTTTGCCGATGCTTCAGAACGGGGTGTCAATCCTAGGCTCGAGGTGGGGGGGTCAGCCTCTTTTGCGCTCGCTTTGAGCTCGCTCTCCATGTTGCGGTTGTTGCTGTTTGAGGTCCGTCAGGGGGAGTCAAGGGAGTCAACCCCGCCCTTGAAGAGCAGTGGGGTTCCGACTAGTGCAGGCCGGGGGCTTCAGCGTGGGCATGTTGCCTTTGGTTTGTAGCACTCCTGCTTGTCCGGGGCTCTTGGTCGTCGTGGGTTCCACCGTTGTTGCTTTTTGGGTGTGCTGCTTTTTCTCTTCGGAGCAGAGGGCTCTTGGCTGCTTCAGGTTTCACGCAAATCTGGTTGCAACCTCGTGTTTTGCCGAGCGGAAGGCACCTTTTTGCTCACTTCAGGCACCACTCAAATCTGCTTGCACCTCGTGTTTTACCGAGTGGGTGCCTTCCGCTTGGCTCAGTCAACCCTCGGTTTGTTGTTCTTGGTGCTAGGCTTCAGTGCCGACCGGCTTGAAAACTACTGTTTTAGTGGGAGGGGCTCTTGGCTGCTGGAGGGTTGCTCTTAGTGCTTGCAGAGAGGCTAGAGGTGTGGGTTTGCAGCACGTCGTAGGGCTGATGTGAGGGTTTTGGAGAGAGACGGCGGTGTCAAGAATGACCCCCTGAGAATTCCCTTGCAGGTTGACGTGTCCCAGGCTGCTGAGTTTTTTGGAAAGCTGCTGTTCGACGGCACAAAGGGCTGGCCGCTGACAGATGCTGGCTACTCGTCAAACCCAAGCTGCATCATTGAGCTCAGCTTGGGCCCATTCAATGGTGAGTTGGCTTTAAGCACACCTGGGAAAGACAAAACAAAACTCTTGGATCGGGACACAGAGATGCAGGATATGGTGACCAAAATTGTGGCTCGAGCAAAGCGTTTGGAAGGGCTTGCCAGCTCTGACAAGAGTTTGTCGCCAGCGCTCCTGGTAGCGCAGGCGCCCGGCTCTGGCAAGAGCCATTTCTTGGCCGAGTTGGGTGAGAACATCTCGAGTCTTTGGGACTTGGATGGCAAGTTGCAGAGGCCGATTGTTTCTGTCTTCACTTACAACTCTGCCATGGGCGACAAGTGGACCGATGGATTTCGTATGAGCAACAGCGGCGTGGACTTGGGTCTGCGGGTTCTGTTCGGTGCTGCCTATCACATGAGAAGCACTGGATTGCGCTGCAAGTCTTGGACAGCCTTCTTGGATGCCATCAACCACGCTGTTTCATCTGAAAACATGCTGCAGAGCCTTGTCGACCTCAATTTTGTGGTTAAGATCCTGCGGCACTGGTATGGTGCCCGGCCTCTACTAATCCTTGCCGACGAGATGGGCAGATCAGACGACGAGGGTCTCGCTAGACAGCGACTTTGTCAGCTGATGGATTCTTGGGCCGGGCAGGTCTCGGTGGTGATGTCGGCGCTCAGCGACTATGAGGGAGCTGTGAACATGTTCAACGCGAGCATTCGGCCAGTAGAGTTTCAAATCTTGATTGTGCTCGGAACTGACACGTTCAGTCGCTTTCAGTCAGTGCTCACCGTCTGGGACCGAAACAAGACTAAGAATGCAATCTTGGCCTACCGCATCTCGCTTGCTTGGGGAGCCACGGCGGGCTATGCCCGCGCCGTCCAGTATCTGACAGCGGAGCTGAACAAAGCAAGATTCAAAGGCCCGTCTGGAGGTTCCATAATGGGTTGCATTGCGAAGCTTGGAGACATGGGAGTGAACCTCCCACCCCAATTCAGGGCAGACGAGCTGGAGGCACTGCTCGAGACATGGGACTCACGGGCTTGCCCCTACCAGCAGCTGGCTCGAGTCAGCCGCATCAAGTCACTGCAGCGGGGCATATACCAGGGAAGCGTGCTGGTGGAGGCGAGGCAAACCTCACAACAACAGAGGCTTTTTATGCCAACAGTCGCAGCCTGGCATGCGGCCTCCTGGTTCGAGAACTCGTTTAACCCAGTAGAGTCCTTTCCTAGGGTGGCCAAGCTTCAGCACATGATGGGCGAAGCGTATCGGGCCAAGTGCAAGGCGATTGAAAGCGACAACGAAACACACATGAAGCAAGCTGCGTCGTATTTCACGGAGGTTACAGGCGCTCTTGGTGCTATGCTAGCTATTGTGAAAGGGCATGAGAAGCTTCCACAGGCTCTCAAAACAAGCTGTGGAAGAAGCTTCCTGGATATAGGCTTTAACGACTCACTGGCACAGGATCCCGCCCTTGCAACAGCAAACAAGCACGAGGCACAACAAAAGCTCGAAAGTTTTCTGCGGGAAGCTCGAGAGCTGGGCATCAATCACTGCGGCACGTCGCCTTTCCTGGTCATCATGGCTCCCCCCAACTGCATGGCCCTTGACTTTGTCATCTTCCGCCGGGAAAATGCAAGTTTAGTCGCCGTCCAAGTCAAGTCCAACACTCTGCTCAACCAAGAGGATGTCGAAGAGCAGTCGAAGAAGCTGCACAAAGCAGCAGAAACGGTGAGGCAACGGAACGTGGAGTTTTTGGCGGTGCTTGGCTCCAATTTTCCCAAAGGCTTCATCGACGACCTATTTTCGTTGCAGCAAGAAGACTTGGTGGCCCTCATCCCACCCTTCCTGCGCCATCTCTCAGGTCTTGCTGCTGGAGTACCAGGCCCTGAGCGCCGAGTGAGGAGCAAAATAAACGCCCGCACTGAGACCGGAGTTGACCGACATGACGTCGAGCAATGATTGAGAGTGACGTTTTGTTGTCAAATTCGGTGTTGGCAGGTGGCCCGACCGCATCCGAGCTTGCCTTGAATGACTGCAAGTGTGTGCAAGGCTTCGGCTGCAAGTGGTGTCGTCATGTCGTGAATCACAAGTATGCGCTGCATCTCGGGATCATGGTTCGCACTGGTGCGTGCTTCTGAGCAAGAGGTTGAGGTGTGGCACAGACAGGTCGTGTTGACTGTTTTTGAAAGGAAGCAGCTTGGAGGTTATGACCTGTGTTTGGTGCAGAGCAGTTGGCACTCAACAGAAATACCCGGCCCAAATCTTGCCGTGGTCATGCAGGCTTGACGGCTGTGCGAGGGTTGCTCAGCCTCTACCGTGCCTTTTCGTCAGAAATCAAACCTTCTCGTGATGGACACTGCACTCAAGGAACATACCTTCGCTCAAAACATCTCGCCGGATAGAGTAGGAGGGCCAAGGCCACATTTTGGTATAGGTTGTCTAGAGACAAAAATTGAGGCCGAGCCGGGCTTCCAACCAACGCCGAGCCCCCACATCGCGGTCTACCTCAATCCTTAAGACGACGACCTGCCCAGAGCCGCATTTTAGCCCAAAAGATTTTGCATGGACTTTGAGGGCACTTTCGAGCGTTCTAAAAACCAGCCCTAAGCCTCCTAGGCCGCGTTCTGGAGCGAGTTCCGGCCGAAACCGGGAAGAAGGACTTACCCTATCAACGAAACAGCCAGAGACTACGCTGAAAGAAAACGCGGGTTGAAAAACCAGATACAAGAGAGAGCTCTTGGATCAGGAGGGACGAGGAACAGCCTGCAGCTAGTGTGACGGCGTGGTGGGGGCTGCAGCGACTGCTTGGGCTGCAGTGCGGGATTGGGGGGCTGCAACGACCGTGACGGCCTGGGGTCTGGAGGCTGCAGCGACCGTGAGGGCATCTGGGGCTGCGGCGCGTCGTCGCCGCCTCGTCGTCGTCGCGTCGTCACCGCCGCGTCGTCGTTGCCGCGTCGTCGTCCCTCCCCCCTCAGTCGGTGAACCCACCTGCCATCCGGGCTTCGGCGTGAACGAGGCCTACTAGGTCGGCGCCGGTCCGGGGTTGAAGTCGCGGAGTTGTCTGACCGCCAGTGGCACCGGCCGCCGAGTCAGCCGAGCCATGGGCTCGCCGGAGCCCCGGGGCACCGGGAGCGCGTGCTTCAGCAGGGTCTCCGAGCCGTCGGTGGCCCTCGCCGTCATCGAGTCGTAGCCCGCCAGCTCCCTGACCGCCCCGTACTGGGACTGGAAGCTCCTCGCCGCGTTCGTCGGGGCCTGGAAGGCGCCCGCCTCCTCGAGGCGCCGCTGCCGGCCCTCCGTGAGCCGCTTGTTGTGCTCGAACTTCCGGGCGTTGTCCTGGTAGACCCGGAAGGTGGCCGCCGGCATCGTCTCCACGTCTTCGGGCACCACGGTGACCGCCTGGTGCGGCCGGGCGTTGTTGGCCTCCGAGACCTCGTCGATGTGGTCCCCCAGCCGCCGCCGTCCCGGGCCACCTTGCCCGCCAGGTCCTTCTTCAGGGTCTGGATGGCCCGGTCGATCACCGCCGTGGCGTTCCGGTCCTCCGGGCGCTTCTGCCGGTGCAAGTTCCCCTCCCCCTCCACCAGCTGGGGGACGATCTCCCGGCCGCCCGGGTCACCGTCTCCGCCCGCTTGTCGGGCAGCGCCTTCGTGGCCACCTCCCGGGTGAAGACGTCCTGCACCACCAGCCCGTACCTGTTCCTTCCCCGGATGTTCTGGAAGAAGTCGATGAGGTCGGCCTGCAGCCGCTTGTCGGGTTGTCCCGGGAACTCCCGCCGCCGGGCGATCTGGAACAGCTTCCGCGGGTCCCTCACGTTGAAGTTCCGGGCCAGGTCCTGCAGCAGCCCGATCGCCTCTCCTTCCGCCATTTCTCCTTAATCCGAGTCGTCTCCGCGAGATCTCTTGCCCAGGGACCCCGAGGCCTCCACCTACTAAGCCACGAAGGCCACGTGGTTGGCCGGGCCGTCCCATATGGTCGTAGTAGGTCGCCTCGACGCCGTCAAAGGGTTTGTGGGCCTCCTCGGCCGGCACGGCTCGGAGGTTCGTCTTGAGGCTCTCGTCGCTCAGATTTTGGAAGCCGTAGAAGCAGATCACCTCGCCGTCGCTGCCCCCGCCGGTGTTGGCCTCGATCAAAAGGTTGGCCGGCCCGCTGCTGGTGTTGAGGCTGATGGTTTGGTCCAGCGCGTTCAGCTGGCAGCCGCCGATGGCCAGGACCTTGAGCTCGGCGAGCCCGGCCTGGTTGTTGGCGTCCAGCAGCACCGTCACCGTCTGCACGGTGCCGCCCGGCGGCCCCACCGCAATTTGCTCCAGCAGAGAGGGCTCATGGACTCCGCTGGTGCTGACAGGGGCGCGATGGCGCCGCTCAAAGACGAGGCACTTGGCCACCTCTGCAAGGCCCTTTTCAGGGCCTCCCAATTTCAATCCCCAGACGGGGCGAGGCGCCACACAATAGGGAGGGGGTTCCCTCTCGCTCTACTTTTGGTTGGTGCCTCTGGAATTGCAGGGCACCAGACAGAGGATAGAGCGGTGGGGGTGCAAATGCAGGTGGTATCCTGGCTGTGCAGGGTCCCTGCAACCCTTCGCCCAGCAGAGTTCGAGGCCCAGGTCTTTGACGATGTCCGCTAGGCCAGGGCAGGTTCCCATGGCCGGCACAGTTAAGTTGAGGGCCGAGGGAGACAAACAAGGACAGAGCCAATCACGTCGACGTCGTCGAGCCATAAGTCGACATGCACATGGACAGGAGGGTCGCACCCCTGCAGCGTGCAATTCGTCCCCCTGGACCTGAATGACATGGACGATGTAAAGTCGTGGTGGTACATGTTGCGTGAAGACCTGCCCCAGGCGGAAGCCACGCGCATCTACAGCGTGTGGCAAAGCCCGGCCCTAAAGCCCCTGAAAATGCTGGCCTGGACCATGCGGAGGTTGCAGCACATGGGCCTGGTGAACCAGGACGTCACCGTGACGCACCCTACGGAGCGCAACTGCGCCGCAGTGACCGCCTTCAAGAAGTTTCCGTGCAATTGTCGAACACGTCCGGCAGACTGGCATCTTTGATGCGTCCACCCTCCCTGACCTCATTCTCGCCACTGACGCCTCCGGAGGCCCGACCACCAAGGACAGTGGGGTTGAGAGCGGCTCCGCTGCCTTCACTTTTTCCGCCCCCGCTTGTTTGGAAGGCGTGGGCTCTCCGGCTCTCGTTCTCCTGGTATTACCTGGCATGCCCTGGGTGCCCCGAAGGGTCAGGCGGGTCCGACTCGTTGGTGGTGACGTTCCCGGTTGCCGCCACGGAGCCGGCGAGGAGCTGGGCGAAATTGAGCGTCTTCGCTGTGTTGACCGTGACGTCTTGGTTCAGGGTGACCGGCAGCAGCGAAGGAGGCCAATGGCGTGAAGGTGGCTCCGACACCAATAAACCCATCACGGCCGCGCTGAGCAACTACTCCACAATGCTCGCGGCCATCGCCGCCGCGGAGACGGCCGCCAACGACTACACGGACGCCGGCATGGTGCTCTGTACAGCAACACGGTCCAAGTCGCGGGTCCCCTATTCCACGAAGGCCCAGCGATTCGGCGATATCCAACGCCCTGGCAGGCATCGACCTCTCAGGCTACTACACCATCGCTGAGACCGATGCAGCCATCCTGGCCGCCCTGGCGCCCTACTACACGAGATGCAGCGATAGCAGCGGCCGTGCGAGCGGTGGAGTTCTCAGGTTAGCGCCCAGACAGACGCCGCCATCACGGCGGCCAAACGAGCTGGCGTCCAGGGCCGCCGTGTCACCCACGGCCGCGAATCCGGTTCGGCTTTAGCGTAGGCGTTGAGGTGAGTTTCAGCATGGTGTCCGAAAGGATGGTGCTGGCCCCTAGAAACGCCCGCGGCAGCAGGGCCTTGATTTGAGGCGGCGTCACGTTGGTGCGCACCAGGGACTTGAAGCACGTAGTCGCTCAGGTCCACGGAGACCTCGAGGCTGTCGTCGTTGTTCTGCAGGAGGCCAAATTGCGCAGCACGTTGGTGCCGCGCAGCAGGTATTTTCCGATCAACAGCTTCACGGAGGGCGGTCCGAGCTACAACCTCATCCAGGACCAGTTCACCCCAACACGCATCCGCAGCCTGTGCCCACCGCCCGTGAGCCTCCTGCCCATCCTGGGCAACGGCTCCGCCCTGAGCTGGAGCCCTGGCGCGGCTGGTATTCCTGGCCAAGCACGCTGCAGGCTCTTTCACGTTTCCCTGCCACTCCGTCCAGTCCCGAAAAGTGCAAAGAGGTTTGAGGTGACCTGACCGGGCCAGGCCTGTGCATTGATCAGGTTGCTGGCGCGCCCAGGTGCTGAGGGCGGCGAGCTGCGCGAGGATGGCGTCGATGGCCGAGTAGAGTGAGGTTTCCAGGGCCGCGAGGTTTTCGGGGGCTGGCGAAGGGCCCCTGGCCCTGCAGGGCCAGGATGTCGGCGTCGTGCGCGTCGCGCAGGGCAGGGCCGCGTCCATGTCTGCTAACAGGGCAGTTGGTCCACGACCACTTGAGAGCGTAGGTTGCTGCCACCGTGGCCAGAGTTGCATTGTTGGCCGAAGCGATGCTGGAGTTCATCGCTGCTGTTCTTCGCTTGACCACGGAGGCCGGCGTGCTTTTGTTCACCGCGAGGCCGGAGGCGTTGGCGACGATGGTGCCCTCTGCGACTGCCAGGTCCGCGGCCAGAGCATAGGGCAGCTCGTAGGCTGTTCTCGTTGGCAGCTCGTTTGGCAGTGGTTGGGCTGGTAAGCAGCGGGTTGGCAGCTGGTAAGTAGCTCGTTGGCTGCTGGTTGGCAGCCGGTTGGCAGCTGGTAAGTAGCTCGTTGGCAGCTCGTTGGCTGCCGGCAAGCAGCTGGTTGGCAGCCAGTGAGCTCGCGAACGGCGACTTCGAAGCACCGTGAACGAACTTCGAAGTGCCGCGCACGAAAGGCCCTTTGAATCCCGTTTTGCTCGCACTTTAGAGCCCCTATAAGATCGCTTGATAGGCCCGCGAATCGACAGTGCTCCGAAGTACCGAATTCTGACTTATGTCTCGAACCTGGACCTGCAGCAATCA